CCGAGTGGAATGGGCCGTGATCCCTGCGGGAGAGGTCTGACCGGATGCTTCATAGACCGTCACAATGGCTTGCCTCAGCCACCTGCCAATAGTGACCGAAGACACCCTGGCCCCTAAGGACCTGGGCTGAAATGAAATACAGAGAGCCTCGGATCTGCGCAGCCCTGACGTTAGCCTGAAGTAGATGCACAAGGCGCGGCAGACGTCCAGTCGGTGCCAGAGACACTCCCTTTTGTGAGAAGGGGCAGGACAAAAATTAGGCAAAATGAGTTCTTGTGCCCTGTGTAATGGAGTGTTTACTTTTGGAAGAAATGTAGGATCCAGATGAAGGACCACCCTATCCTGATGGAATTGGCAAAGATCGTCCCTGGACGACAGAGTGTCCAGTTCAGATATGTGTCTGGCCGACGTAACTGCAACCAGGAAAGCCACCTTTAGGGATAGCAATCTAAGGTGGACTCTTCGCAAGCGTTCGAATGGCACTCCCTTCAATGCCCTGAGGACAAGGGGCAGGTCCCAAGTGGGAAATCTATGTACTGGGGGATGCCTGAGATTTGCCGCCCCCTTTAGGAACTGCTTTATCAAGGGGAGGTAAGAGAGAGTGGAGTTATCCTCCCTCCTCAGAACAGGAGACAATGCAGCCACTTGGCGACATAAGGTGTTATGGGAGAGGCCCCCATCTAATCCCTTCTCTAGGAACTTGAGAATCTGGGCCACCGAGGCTTCGGTTGGGCAGATACCTAGCCGTTCGCACCACTTGACAAACGCTGACCACGTGGAGTTGTAGATCCGAGTGGTCGACAGGAGCCTCGAGGCCTCGATGGTTGCTATGACCTTGGAGGACAGGTTAGCGTTCCTCAGGAGATGCCGCTCAAGTGCCAGGCGGTCAAGTGGAGCCACTGGTACTCCAGGTGGATCAGGACCCCCTGGCACAGGCCGATGTCCTCCTGAGGTATCCTCCATGGGGTGGGGGAAATAAATGAAGTAATGTTGTCATTTTATACGTTGTAGAAATATTGGAAAATCTCAGGAGGATCTTGAGCCAATACAACATACATACACACTTCAAACTGAAGAATACACTAAGACAGAAGCTTGTCCACCCCAAGGATAAATACCCAGACACAAACTGAGCAATGTGATATATGCAGTATAATGCAATGAGCCATGTATAGATCTGTACATTGGGGACACAAAACAACCACTTCATAAATGCATGGCACAACGTAGGAGAACAAACCCATCAGAACAAGATTCAGCAGTCCATCTGCATTTAAAAGACAAAGGTCACTCTTTTGAAGACAGCAAAGTCCACATTTTGGACAGAGAGGAGCGCTGGTTTGAAAGAGGGGTCAAACAGGCCATCTATGTCAAAATTGAACAGCCTTCTCTCAACAGAGGGGGAGGGATATAACATCCTCTATCTCCAGTCTACAGCAGTCATTTTAACAGTTCCAAGAAGGCCCCACACTCATTTGCATGACTCAGGTGACCCTGATGACACAGGTAAACTTCCAGGTGGCCTCAATGACCCTTTGTGACTTCAGAAAAGAGGTTTATGTATGTCACTATTTCCTCCTTTACACAACAAGTGTAGTTTAAATAAATAACCTCAAAAAGGCGGGGTTTAAAAAAATGGCAGGTTGACCACAGCATTAACACCCTTGAAGGAGAAAACCGAGGGGGGAGATGAAATACTAATGTTCTGCTATTCAGTTTTTCTGGTGAACACATTCTCCAGGTTTCATAGAATCATAGAACAATAGTTAGAAGGGACTTGCAGGTCTTTTAGTCCAACCCACTGCTTGAGCAGAAGACTCCATGCCATTCTCAACAAATGGTTGTCCAATCTCTTAATAAAAATCTCCAGCAATGGAGCTCCTAGTTGCAGGAAGTAAGCTTTTCCATCAATTGTTCTCACTGCCAGGAAATTTCTCCTTACATCTAGATTTGATCTCTCTTCAATGATCTTCCACTCATTACTTCTTGTCCTCCTTTCAAGTGCTTTGGAGAGTAGGTCAATCTCCTCTTCAGCCGACCCATTTGTCTGTGACAGCCCCTCGAGTTTTGGAAGACCTCTATCATTTCACTCCTAGCCCTTCTCTTTGCTTGGACTACCTAGTTCCTGCAATGCAATATCTCCTGATCAGGGAAAATGATTGTGACATATATTTTGACCTCTCAGTACAGCAAAATTTGGAGCACGTCTTCAGTATTTGGAATACCTATCTTGGTGTGACCTAAGAATAATGTGAACTTAGCTCACCATAACTGACCAAGACATTTATTTGCTCTTCTATTTGTTTTATATCTTGGGGGGAAGGAGGTGTTTTATTTTGTGTGTGTTTTGTTGTGCTGTAGAAATTAACCATTTCATAGTATTTTAAAAAAACAGGAAACAGGTTCCAAAGTATTCCTGACTAGAAGATTTAATTTAATTTAATTTAATTATCAAAATTTATATGCCACCCAATCCCGAAGGACTCCGGGCGGCTTACAAAAAAGAAGAAAAAAAGAAAAAAAGAAAAAAGAAAAAAGACAGTTTAAAATTATAAAACCACATGCATTCATTCTAATCGGGGCTGGACCTCAACAATGAGGTCAACAGCCCCAGGCCTGCCGGAACAGCCAGGTTTTTACAGCTTTCCTGAAGGCCATGAGAGTGGGTATGGTCCGGATCTCTGGGGGTAGCTGATTCCAAAGAGTCGGAGCAGCCACAGAGAAGGCTCTCCTCCAGGGGCCCGCCAGCCGACATTGTCTGGCTGACGGCATCCGAAGGAGGCCCAATCTGTGGGATCTTACTGGCCGCTGGGAGGTATGTGGCAGTAGGCGGTCTCGAAGGTACACTGGCCCTAAGCCATATAGGGCTTTAAAGGTAATAACCAACACCTTGAATTGTGTCCGGAGACCAATTGGTAGCCAGTGCAACTCGCGGAGGATAGGTGTAACGTGGGTGTACCTCGGTGCACCCAATATCACTCATGTGGCTGCATTCTGGACTAGCTGCAGTCTCCGAACGCTTTTCAAGGGTAGCTCCATGTAGAAAGAGGTTCGACTGGCATTTCAAATAAGTGTGATATGAAGGGAGACTTGTGACATCTTGAAAAATAATAGATCTGTTGTGGCGCTTCTTGTCCTGGATGATTTGGGTTAAGATTCATGACGTTATGAAGAAATGGTGGGCTTTACTCCACGTAAACATACATCATAGCAACTGTACAAGACTATTCCTTCTTTCAGTTGAAATGGGTTTAACAGGAATGTCATCATAAGGGCTGGATTCACAGCCTCCTTAAGGTCCAGTTCTTCCGACAGGAAGCAGTTTTATCTGAATTTCTATGAACCTTTTCAGTCATCCAGGTCATAGTTGTATCAAAAGTGGCTTTTATTTTTGAAAAGGTGACTGGACTGACTTTTTTTAGGAAGAAGACGCCATTTTGCTTCCTATCCCAGAAGCTTCATTAGTTATCTTGGATGCTGTGGGAGATGGAAGGACAGTTATTGACAGCTGAGATTAGTTTTTTGGGGTGGGTGATAGGATCTGACAGGACAGTGGTGGTGGTGGAAATGGAAAGATTGTATGTTCTTTGCAGTCAACTGGTTTTAACACTCTTGAGAGCTGTTGTGGTTACTTGGGGTTTTCTCTGTGACCTCAAGATCACTCGAGCCAGATGTTTGGAATCTTCTTGGAACAGCCAATAGGACTGTGTTATAAGTTGGGGATAGCTGGTGTCTTTTCCCTTTCTTTGTTGAGACGGCTGCTCAATCTTAACACTTTTGTCTGCTTTTTTATGTTAAAGAACAATTGTGGCAAGGAATCCCCACGTTTGCTCATTTTTACTGACACATTAGTACACTCAAGGCTGAGCAACAACTGGTATGGCTTACCTATTTTCTCTGTCCCCTCCTTCTCTCTCCCTCCCTCCCTCCCCTTTCTTCTTTCCTGAACAGCAAAAAAAAAAAAAGTAAGTCACAACCAATCACTTTTTTCTGAAATATGGTAGAGGGCCACATGAATTTAGTCTAAGGCTGCCCAGGTGCTCGTAAGATTGCAGGTTGTTCACTCCCAGTTTATTTTTGATGTAGTTCAGAAACTTCAGCTCACACAAAATGTGGTCGCTTCGTTCCAAATGCACCAGCTTCTTAAAGTGCTTTCAAAAAACATCCAATTTAATCATAGTCCTGGAGATCCATAAATGAACTGGAACTGTTTTTTCTGTATCAGTCTTCCTAGTGTATGTTTTTATTTTTTTGTAGTATTTTTCTGTAGTTATAAAAATCATAAACATAGGAGCAAATCATTTTGTTGTTTTAAAAAATGTTTTTATATTTCAAGAGTTACAAGGTGATCTCTTGCTCAAAAGAGACCCTGAACAAGTACAAGGAAGGATAAAAGAAGGAAGGGGAAGAAAATATTTAAAGCCAGACATTAACAGGTTCTTTTGACATAAAAAAAATACTGCTGATGCAATTCCCAAGATACACGAGTCTTCATTTTGCACGTTTTGGGAATCCCACTGAAATTTCATTGCTGCCACTGTATTTATCTGAGCTAACTCTGAAGTTATGGCCTCAGGAACCCAAACTAGGAGAAATGATCAAATCAACAAAACTGTAATAACACTGTGTATTTTGGATTACCTCTATGATTTAACCTCTATGATGTCAAATCTGTCTGATGGTTGCCCACTCCTCCTTGCTCACTTCTGTATTTACATTGCTTCCTTAATAAAAAAAATAGTCCAAAATTGTTTGGGGTAGGGAAGAACAGAATCCATATATTCAAATAAAATAAATTAAATGTATTAGCCTTTATGGATCCTTAGGCAAGCCTCCTTTTCTCAGCTCTCTTCACATTTCCAGTAGAAATATAATAATACAAGATAGGAGTGCACTTAGAAAAATACTCAACTAATAATGGAGAAGAGTTTGAAGTTTATTTACAATCTAAGACCGATCCTTAAAAATACATCAAATACAGCAGATAAAACACATACTAAAAAAGGAATAGGTTTTCACAGTGGAAATTCGTAACAGCTTAAATCAAGGAATGTTAGAATGCTGTTTTATGCTTTGGGGGTGGAACTCAAGTGATAGTAAAGAAAAAACATCAAAAAATTAACTCACAATCATAAACCAATTCAGTGACATATACCGTCCCTAATGATCTGGGATTTTGTCTATTCAGTTTGAATTTACACATGCCATTCAGCCTAAGTGTATAATCTAAAAGAATGCTACACATTATGACTTGTTTCTTTATATTTCACAAATGAATAAACTATGAATAAATGTATTAATAAATTATTATAATTACAGTATGGCATTATGCATTTTGCTGTTTGGATTAGTGGTGAGTGGAGAGAACAACCTCAGCTTTTCTAAGGACTATGTCCACTGGGATTTAGGCAATCCTTCCATTATTTGAAATCACTAGCTTTTTTCAAAACCAGGTATTTTGGCAAAATTATTTCCTTATTAAGAGCATTTCCGCATTAGCCATTTATAGTTTCACCCTGCCATTGCTATAGTGACACAAAGCTTGTCTTCATTATTGACTGATTGCCACAGCAATTGCTGGCCATGCTATAAATTGCTAGTGTAGATAAGCTCTAAGAATAGAATGGAAATGGAATGACCAGCTCCACATTCCTTGAATATTGCAAGGAATTTCTAAAAATCTGTATATTGATAAAGAACTCAGTTTTTATGAAGTTTTTGCAGAAATTAAATTCTATATTGAATAAGTATTTCCTTGATTTCACTGTAATAATAGAAGCTACTCAAAAGAATCTGGGGATTTAAAAAGGAAATGCTGAGTTTTCTTATGTTATTTGGTAGGCAAATATGTGAAAGAATAAACTGTCTCCTGGTTTATTCATTTCACTCCTCCAAGAGTCCACAATTAGTAATTCAGGTCTACAGTAACCTGTAGATTGACACACTTTCTTGAGGGTTGCAGAACTCAGTCTGATGCAGCAAAACCCATAAAGACTTCAGATAGCTAAGAGATGTATACTAAAGTAAATTTTGGGGTTGTGGAGATTCTATATACTTTTGTGTGGCTAGTCTAGTGGGCCAATGTATCTAATCTAGGGACCAATGTATCTATGAGGAGGTAGGATATAATGGCAGTTTGATCCTTCATGAATCCAAAGTAATGCTCAGCTGATCCTTCTGACACCAGAAAAAGGAGCAAATAGATGAATTAAGCAATCTAATGACTGTTAGAGCCAGCTTATTTGAGAACCTTGTCAGTAGTGATAAGAATTGTGCCTGACAGAAAGTATTCAACATAACTAAAGAACATACCTGAATCCTTTTTGGCAAAAGAGCAGCAAATTGCAGAGTTAAGGAATAATGAACTTAACTTTAGAAAGTGATTTTAATTGCTCAGTCAAAGCCACCATTTTCAGTAAAGCAGTAAATCCTAGCCAAAGTATGATCAGCATCAAGGGCAGGAGTGGAATAGCCAGGGGGGTTCCCCTTTGCTTCCACTCCGTGCAAATTCCTTTTGTATGCAATGCCCTGCATTGCAGAGATTTTCCTCCTATCTTCTCTGCACTCCTCCCTAGGATCATTATGATGAAGTCATTGTGAATTAAGACCTTGCTGTAGAACCCAGCGGGCTGTTTCTGTGGCAAAAATCCAGTGACATGGTTGCAGGCTTTTAAATAGCACACTAGCAGTGCTGTAGAAAAAGCACTTCCCACAGCATAATTGTCATGTGAAAAGGGCACTACCATATGGGGGCCATTGGGCTGATTGCCTCTTTCTGTAATAAATCCCTTTGTGAGTTCCACAGGCTAGTGACTCGAATAACCTCTTTTTGCTTGGCAGGCACATAGAACACAGTAGCACACAGTATTTGCGGATCAATATAGTGCACAACATCCTCAAGTGCACAATACAGCCTTCAAAAGGCCAAAGGAATACCATTACATTTCTGGAGAATATTATGTGGACCTATTTCAGCCAGGGGTTTTGTTGCAATATTGTATTGCTAAATCATCTGGATGGAAAACATGCTGGAAACTGGATGGAGAAGTACAGCTCTGTAAGTTCTCATAGCCTCTTGATGGCTTTTGATACCCGGTTGTGGTATTCCTTAGCACCATTTGGCCTGACTGAACCTTGGAAACCCTGTTTTGTAATGAAGTACAGTCGATAAGGGTACTATTGTTCCACACCTTGACTGTTGACTCACGGTATTCCATCTTATATTTTACGCACTTCAACATCTATATAAAACTACTGGGAGCTTCAGAATAGGATGCCATCAGAATGCTGAAATTCACTGGTTCTACTACTTGTAGCCATCCAGTTAAGTAGTAAACTCCAGTATTAATTAAGGAAGTAACTAGCACCACTGAATGCAGATACAGAAAATAATCCAGTGACACTATTAACCAATATGAAACTGAATTTGGAATTGGACTCCCAAAGAAAGAACAAATCGATCTACTGGAGATCTGTTTTTCAGTTGTAATGATAAGTGGCAATTATAGTACCAAGTGCATCCACACCATTATAACTAAGTGTGCCAGTATAACTGTGCCTTGATAGTTGCATAGGACTGACATGAAAAGTGTCCAGAAGTTGTCACTGGGGCAAAATGTAGTAAAAATGTGAGAACTGGGCTGCTAGAGCGCAAAATACTGTACTGAACTCAAATATTTGTATTGCTTGCCAAATGCATTTCTGAACTCCATTTAAATTATTATCCATAACGTAAGAAAGCTAAACAACATAAGATCTGTCTAAGGGACATCTTTTTTCATTATGAATCTGATCTGCAGATGACCTTCTGAAGACATTGCTTTTAGAAGCTCATTTATATGGCTTGGCAAAGATGGCTTTGTCTGTATTTCTCCCAAGGCTGTGGAATGCCCTCCCTTGGGAACTGTATTTGGCCTCATTCTCTGTCTTTAGAAAGCAGTAATGATAGGTCTGTTGTGTCAGGGCTTTAATGGTTAAGTAGCTTAATTTCTTAAATTTTCCAATATACTCTTCTAATTAAAAAAATAAATAACCTAGCACATTACGAAGTAAAGCACTACCCTCTGACATTATCTTTATTTCCAAGAGTCTTCATAGTGCCCACAAAGTTGAGTGCTAATATCAGTTCCCAAAAGAAACATGAAGATACATACATACAGTATTCTGGCACGATTGAGAAGGGAGAGTACATGTTGGCTGTATCCCTTGAGGCCAATCAGCTTCCTGCTTTTGAGAAGCGAATGAGGGAACTTAAAGGAGCCACCTAAAAGTGTATAGCCTACATGGGTATGTTTACTTGTTAAAGGTCCAAGATAGATCATAAGCTTCATCCCTCTTTGAGGATAATGAAATGTCTTGAGTGTCAGAACCTCTGAACTTCATAGCTTTTTTGATCAGCAGGGAATGAGTTTGTAACTTCAGCTGTAATCCATCTTCATACCAAAACCTCCCAATCTTCAAACGTGTACTCCAATCTAAATGAATGCTCTAGGCTCACAAGAACACCCTCCCCCCCCAAAAAAAACCTGGAGTGCCTCTATGATGGCCACAATTTTTAGCCTACAGTCACATTAAATGGTATAGCTGTTGCTTTCATATTAAAAGACCACTTGAAAGTGTGGTATGTATGTAGGTACAGTAGGTATGTAAAATATCTGTGTATCATAAACTTTGCTCAGGAGCCTCTTGTACTCTTAAACACTGAAGATAGAACTGGAGTGCCTTATTGACTGAATAGCTACAGACAGAACCACTCCAAAATAGGGTCATCTATAGCACTAGTCCTCTAAACAAATGGAATGTTCTGCAATACTCACTGTAAGTAAGTATTGTAAGTAAATATTACTTGACGTCTTCTGAAGAAGCACTTAAGTCATCAAGACAAGTGTGACAGGGTGTAAAGATGACTCAAAGGATTTTTTTTGAGTCTTTGGATTCTTCACAGCTTAGGTCTTTCCACCTCTGCAATTATACAGATGGTACAGATGTTGAAGCAATTTTATGTGGGACTGACCTTTTGGTAAATTTGGGAGGAGGGATTCTTGGAATAAATCAAAGGTCCTAGATTTTGGGAAAGTAGAAACACAGTCTATGAATGATAAGAGATGGAGTTCCAGGTATCTTCAGTCATATGAATAAACTGAAAGAACAACAAATATATATTTTACATACAGATAATACAATATTGGAAGATGAAAAACCACTTTTTCTACAAAACTTGTATATGTAAACATTTTTTAGAACAAGGCAACTATGTAGAAACAGGAGGATGACTCACAGCTTCTCTTGCATCCTGCAATTGCTTACAGATCTTGGTAGTTTGTACCCTCAACTATTTTATTAATTATATAAGTAATTGTTACTCCCCTCTCTGCATTTTGATTCCTTTCTATCTCCATACATAAAATTCCTGCATCACTGAACATTCTATGCTGATAAAAATAATGAAGTGGGGTTCTCCCAAACCCTTATAGTCTACAGATTACAAAGTCTTCATCTGTTAAGAGATTAATGATGCATTTTCCATGCAAAATCTGGATCCTATTGCACCATCAGTGCTCAACCTTTCATGAAGACTTATCACCAGGTATTCTTATTGCTGAAAGAGAAAAAGGCAAAAGATGAAAGCAAACTTGTTTCTTACATCAAGCAATCACTATCACTAAGCAAGCTACAGTATATACCTTTGTTAGATGCAACATACTGTAATATTAATTGAAGGCTTATTGTTTTAGATAAGGGCCCTGCTGGACAAAAAGGAAAGCTACAAAAATTCACTAAATCAATAAATCTAGGAAATCTTATTACAAATGTCCTTTTATCCGATTACTATCTTGTTCTCCCTGTAATTTGGAATACTAATGTTATCCTGAATTAATTACAAAAAAAGGGGAAATTAAAACAAAACACAATCACCCATTTCCTTAGTTGTGCTGCTTATTCCAAATATAAGAAAACTGAGGACAGACCCTTAGCTTATTAAAACTCTCAAATGCCTCAATGTTTAAAAAAAAACCTTAAAAAGGGATTTACTTTAGCAGCAGAATGTCCAATTTTTATTTCAGTAGTCTAAATTTCAGGCCAGGCATCTTCAGTTATAAGGTTTTGTTAGGCAGTGATGGAAAACTTCTATGATAGCCTAGAAAACTTCTCTCCGAGCAATTAATCCTGAATTAAATGATCCAACTATGTAATTTGGTAAAGGGCATCATTGTTTTCTAATAGGTTAATTTATCCCATTAAATAGGAATAAACCTTTAGTAAGAATTCAACAAATAACACAAAACTTTTTGTAACACAAACATCTGGAATAAAACCAATCTGAAAAGTAGATTATAGACTAGTTTATCCCAAGCATATCTTGACATATATTGTGATTTCATCTCCCCATCTCATTCAATAAATGAAAGGTTCCTATATTTTGTCAAATCAGCGATTGATTACATTTAGAATATTTACTTGTCACAAGAACTCTCACAAAATGACTACCATCAAAAGCGATTGATTACATTTAGAATATTTACTTGTCACAAGAACTCTCACAAAATGACTACCATCAAAAGCCTGGGTGGTCATAAGGCACCATTTACCAGAAGATAAATTGGTGTGATTAACCCCATTACTTCCATAGGACAAGCTTTTCCATCCCAACTTACCGTTTTTATTTCCTGAGAAACAGGCAATTCTAAAATATCGCTCAACTGTTCCAGACTTGACCATTCCTGGAAATAAAGCCTGCATGAGGCTGGTATTTTGCTTTGCTTCCCCTTTTCTTTTTATTAAAAATATTTAGTAATAAAATGAGGAGACAGAATTTAATAGGTATCAGGCATGGGGATCCAAGCATGAAACATCCAATTGCTGCTTAGGTGTCTGCCATTAAAGTGTTACTCTTATTCCCCTACTAGCACCATTTTTTAAGTATTGTACATTGAACCTCAGAAGGACGTCAGATGGTTTAAGGTCTTATTCAAGAACATTTCCAGTGTTTGAGTACTCACCTGGAAAGACACTTTATGTTTAATTTGTTCACATTTAAGAAAAATTATATAATAAGTAACAGCAACATAACCTCACATGAAAGCATTCAAAACTGAAAATGATTAAATGACTAAAGTTGCAGATCTCTACATATGATCTCTACATATAAGATTCTGGGCGCTTCAATAATGTATTTTTGACTTTATGGTTTTTGTGCAAAATTATTGGAGAAAACAACATGCACTTCCAAGTAGTTGACAGTATCCATTTTATTTTGAGATATCTAGTAAAACCATCCATGACTATGCAGAAAATAGGAAGTAGGTTCAAATGATATTTTTCTTGTTTCAATTTTCCATTTTTGGATATCCGTATTTCCCTAAACAGCCTGAGATCAACAAGCAAGTACATGTGCATCATGCATAGTTCTCAGATTATTTATGTAGAGAAAAAATCATTTTAGCTGGTGAACAAATCTGAGCATTTTAAGCAAATATATGATTTCATTTAATAAGATTTCAGAGCAGTGACCATATTTAAAGCTGTTCCAGTGACTTTTCTCCAACACTGATCCTCACCAGAATAAAACTTTGTCACCTGGGTCTGGAGAATAGATATTTTTTTTCTGTTCTGTATCAGATACATCCTAACTAGCTAACCTATATCAATCTCCAATGTCATCATGGCTCTGCTTATCAGAAGAAAAAGGTTTTATTGGAAATGGACTTGCATGAGCTCAAATTTAAGTAAACATTATTAACTAAAGTAGGGATTGGAAGCATGACTGTTTGGCTTTCTTTTTAAACTATTTATACGATAAACTGATAAGGAATAAACATTGCAATTCTGCAAGGTAATGCTAAAGTCAGAGCCAACCAGATATAATCCATGTAAATTTGCTAAGTTGCAGAATCTATTTTCCTGTAGGCAAAAATCCATCCTGTATTCTGTATCGCAAATGAAATCTGGGTGTCCCATTACACTTACTTTTAGAAAAAGTGTGTATCTTTTTCTCTCAGAGTTCTACCTATAGATGGATAGAAGGGGAAGATTTGCATTAGAGGCAAGAAGACAGGTCTCACCAATGTTCCAAAGAATCCATGTAGCTTTCAAAATGAAATTGGGAGTCTCTGCTGACATATGCTATGACATTCTATATATATATTTATCAAAAAAGGAGGGTTACTATCCACTCAATGGATAGGGCCCCTATAAAATTATGATTTATGATTATTATTTTATATTTATGATTTAGTATTTGTTGCTCACATGTATACTGAGAGCTTATGCACCAGAGATAAATAATGATTTCTCTTCTGACCTATTCTCTGGGTTGTAGGAGATCATGAATGAGCTATTATATCCTTTTAAAAACTAGAAAATGAATACAATCTGATGAGAAGCAGTATAAAGTTAAATGATCTTTCTGAAAAGGGTACCAAGAAGCCCAGAACCACTGAAAAGTCAGAGCAGAAAAGTATAAAAATTCATTTGATTTACAAAGCATTTTGCAACTATTTATACTCAATGTTCATTTGGTCACAATAGCTTATCTATCAGTTCAAGGAGCCTGTTAATTGGCATTAATTGTAGAAACAGTATATCAATTTGTCTGATTATAAGTTTATTTTTAAACTGTTTGTACCAGTTAGATGTTTCTTTAATGTTTAAATATTTTGGAGCAGGGTTAAACATTCAAGCTAGAATTCATAGAGTTATCTAATTTGATGTTACAGGACCATTTTATACCCTAGTTTGCCAATTGTCCATCCCAATAGCTAGGATACTGTAGCTTTTACTCATATTCTTTTACAATCCAGACAGAATTAAAAATGTGGAGGAACACTGAATTGTAGCTCACAAAAGCCTATCAGATACCCCATAAAATTTTACTTTGCATTGTCTATATCTTCATGCTTATATGTACATTTGTGATTCATGGTAGTTGTACATGAAAGTGGCAACATATTCTTGTTTATTCACCAAAGTGAGTTAGGGAAGTTTGGGGCAAAACCTGGTTAAACTTGCACAATAATGGGGATTTCTCTCCCCATCTGCCAGCAATAAAATTACTTGTTGCTCTTATACCATGAAGGAAGAGAAAATTAGGAAGGATATTGTAGCCAAAACCACTAAACATGAAAAGCATTCTTGGCTATCTTGGAATTCAGTATTAGCTTCAATTTTTAATTCCACTAAAATGTTTGCCCAAATTGTATGAACTTGACATAGCATGTTCCTTTATTGTCAATATTCTCTTTTTCAAAAGCAGTGTTTCACCTCTAAACATTCATCTAATATTTTTATTGACAAAACAAACTTAAATACAATTGTTTGTTGCATATTGACATTGCTTCATGTAATGTAAAATTTATTAATGATTGCTTCTACAAAATTAAAAAAAGTTAAAATGCAACATTATGCACTGATCCTTTGAGTGACTAGCAACTTTGAGTGACTAGTGACCTGTGCTTTCTAAATTAAAAATAGGGATTGCTTTATTAAAGCAGCAGTCCCCAATCTTTCAACTTTGGCAGCCTGGCAAGTGGCAGTCACATGCGCAAATGAAGTTTCATGCACAAGTAGAGGGTGTTTGTGCTCGCACACAAAGCTCCACTCGCGCAAACTGTGGGCCTTTGCACTCGCGCATGAAGCTCCAGTTGCATGAGCTAGGGTGGATGAGCTTATGCACAAAGGTCCACTCATTTGAATGAAGCTTTGTGTGCAAGCACCCGCCACTCGCACGAATGGAGTTTTACGTGCATGCTGCTTGCCCACTGATCGCGCACCCCAATTTCAAACAGGTCACGGCCTGGGGGTTGTGGACCCCTTTATTAAAGGAGTTGCAAGGAAAGACGAAAGCGAAAGGTTTTCCAAAACATCCAAGTCAGTTGGGGAACTCATTGCCAGCGACTTACAGCGCAAGTTGGACCATTCTGTATTTTGGCTGCCTCAGATGGATTGTGAACACTGCAGCTGGCAGCATAATTCAAGCAAATACTGAATTCTCTCAGAAGCCTCGTGCATATCATAAGATTTAAGGCCCAAGATATCTTCTATTCTTATAAATTTGCCAACATAAATGCTATGTAGATTTCTAATTCTAAAATTGAGTAGCTTGATTAAAACATAATTTTATTCATTGAATGTTTAATTGTTTGTCTAACCAAACGGTTAATAAGGTTATACCAAACCCAGATTCAGTACATCATATATTTGTGGAATATGATCAGATTAGATAATCAATCATATATGTAGACCGCAGAAGGAAACATAAAATTATGCTATTCGTACTATTAAACATGTATAATACCTTACATTAAAAATAAGAACCAAAATGCTTAAGTATTATCAAACCCACTCAGTTTAAATTTTTTGAGACCAAGAAAGGCCAACATTGGAAAATGTTATAGGAAAAAACAACATGTAACAGGTCACTTTAGACTTGGTACCCCCACCAAGCAACCTGACATGTACCCAAGATGGACAGAATAATGAAGATGAAAACCATGAGACAAAACATGCTTTCATTTTTATTCACAAAACAGCTTAGCTTGAATTGCTAGAACATTACAAACAGGCTTTCAATTAGAGATGGTAAGAAAGCAGGAGATGAGG